TCTGCCGTGCCGTGCCCTACGCGCCTGCCCTGTGTGCTATGCTGTGCTGAGCTGTGCTGCGATGTGCTGTGCCGTGCCGTGCCGTGCTGTGCTGCGGTGTGCTGTACTGTGCTATGCTGTGTTGTGCTGTGCAGGTGTGCTGTGCAAAACTGCCACGCCTGCTGTGCCGTGGACGACCCCTATGGCGTCGAGAATGTGCCACACGTGCCAAGCCGTGTGTGTGTGTGCTGTGCTGTGCTGTGCTGTGCTGTGCTGTGTGCGCTGTGATGTGCTGTGCTGTGCTGCGCTGCGCTGCGCTGCACTGCGCTGCGCTGCGCTGTGCTGTGTGCGTGAGGAGGAGGGGGAGGAGGAGGGGGAGGGGAGGAGGGCGGGTGTGGGTGAGACGCGGGTGCGGCGCGGGTGGGAAGAAAACCAGAACCCCACGAAACATGTGGGGAACTAGGCTGGTGACGATGCTCCGTGCTCGTCTGACTGTGCTTTGGGATTTTCGTTGACTTCCTGTTATTTTTTCTTCGCAATTCGCCTGTAGGAGTCGGAGGCCACGCTGGTGGGAATGGGGATCGGGTAAAGGAGTCTCAGAAGGGGGTTGGGAGAGGAACCGCGCCTGTCCACCTGCGCCCTCAAGGGCTGGAGTTCTTGACGCTCCGCGTACCCCCACCCTGCATGTGCATACGCCACTGCGGCCAATTATCTTCGTTCAGCGCCCCGAACGTTGCCCCGCTTCTTGACCTTCGTCCTGGAGCCGCCGACCAAAAAAGTACCCCCACCCTGTTCCTGGCCCGTGCCCCGGACCTCCTTTCGCCGCCTGCCCTCTGCTGCGCGGCCGCAACCAAAAAAGTACCCCCATCAGACCACCTGGAGCTGTTACACGGGCGAGTGCCTGGATCGGGAAAGTGCAGGGGCACGCAAGGGAGCAGCGTGAGGGGCGACCGTCAGAGCCGAAGCTCGGGAGAGGTCGGCCTGGGCAGGCCCAGGAGTCAGCCGAGAGAGCCTTCGCAGATCCGTGCGGTGTGGGAACGTCGTGGGAGTGCGTGGAGAGGAGGGGGCTGGCAGCAGGGGTGGGACGAACCGGTGTGTTGGCGATTTCGTGGGCCGTTTTCGTTTCGATGTCGTTTTGCGGCGAAGGCGAGTTCAAGACAAAACGAGGGAAAACGAACACGAAAACGAAAAACACCGTTTAGGCCCAGCCCTGGCTGGCAGGACCGGACCAGACCGACACATTCGAAGCCAACATGGTCGAAATTGGAACGAACTATGTATTGTCGCGATAGAGTATCGCCTGCCAAAATTGTCGACGTGAGCGACAGGACCCGTTGCATAGACAGGTTCACGCCCGACTCCAGCAGCCGGACGCACCGACGGGGCGTCGGGGCCTGAAGGGTCGCAGGCGATTTTTCTCCCCAAATCCCCGGCTTCTCGACGAAAAAAGAAGCCGCTCAGAAAAGGAGTCGTGTGTCATATTTGTTGGTTGGCTGATACTCCCAACATGTGCCTAGTTTTTGCGACCTTATCCTTTTAAAGCCGATATCACGTAGCAGGTGGCCCGCGGGAGAGCCTAGAGACGTCCCCCCCCCTAAACGCCGAAGACGCCTCATCTTGGCGCACCCCTCGTTCATGTCGTGCTTGATGACCTCATGACCTTCCAGAGGCTTTAAAGTGCAGCGGAAGTTAGCGCACCCCTCACGCACTCCGTGACTCCCAGTCTGCCAGGCGACGCTTTCAGCGCACGTCTCATTTTCCCTCCCCCCCTCCACATCACGCACTTCGTGCTCGATGGCCCCCCACAGTCTTTCGGTTGAGGCTCCAGCCGGAACAAGACTCACGCAGGTCGTGCCCTACGGCCTTTCAGAGGTTCAGGAACTCACGGGCTTGTCGGAAACATGGTAGGCAAAACCCCCCGTGGAGTGGATGCCCGCCTCAGTTGTGAAGGCGTATCGAGCAGCAGGCGCGTTCGTACCTCCTGTCATCAGGAAAAGACGGGAGGAGGAGAGCCCTAGCCATCGAGACTCTTAGGACTTCCCGCCCCATTCCTAGACGTGGTCTTCGTCAAAGCCTCGGATGATGGCGGTCAGCTGCCTTCCATGGACGACCGCGTCGGTGATGATGGTGAGGCTTTCGGATCGTTTGTGTGCTCGCTCTGTGTGTGAGTGTGTGTGTGGGTGTCCATCACCATTCTTCTCTGTCCTTGTCTCCTTCTATGCCTGTTCGGGCACAGTTTCGGGCGCAGCATCCCCTGGGTAGAGGCGAGGCTGCAGGATGTACCTCACCGTCCTCCAGCGGTCTGCGGGGAAGGGCAATTCGAGAGTTCCCAGGGGGCCGATGGCCCAGACGAGTCGGGCCATCGCCGGGGGCTTGGGCACCTGTCCGCCGCCGCGCTGGCGGCGGTCGGTGCGCCGGGCCCTGTGGCATCTGTCGCGAGCTTGTGGTTGGTCGTGGCCCCTGGGCCACGACCCCGTGGATGCGGGGCGTTTCTCGCGGGTGCCCCGCGCGGAACGCATTCATCCATGCGACCGAGTATCCTCAGGAGGTTTTTAGTTTTGAGCCCCCCCCCTTGTTCGTTTCGGCGGGCAAACATCTCGCCCCTCCTCATGCTCCTCCCTCTCTTTTCCTCCTCCTTCTCCCCCCCTTTTCCTCCTCCTCTTCCCCCTCCTCCTCCTCCTCCTCCTCCCTCTCCTTCTCCTCCGCCTCCTCCGCCTCCTGTTCCTTCTCCTTCTCCTCCTCCTCATCCTCGTCGTTCTCCTCCTGCACTTCCTCCCGGTCGTTGTCGTAGTCGTCGTGTTCGTCGTCGTCGTCGCGACGGAGGTTCGTTTCTTTCTATTGTTGGGCAGGTTTGGTAATGTTGGGGGTTTCTGTCCCCCAGAGAATAACCCATCGTGTGCAACCTACATGCGAGATGATACATGAGCACCTTCCCGTGCGTATCGCAATGAGAATCAGTGCTTGTTGGTTTAATCGTGATTGTGGTCGTGGTTGTAGTCGTAATCGTAGTCGTAGTCGTAGTTGTCGCCGTCGCGGCGGAGATTATTTTCCCTCTATTGTTGGGCGGGCTGCAGAATGTTGTGGGCTCTTTCTTCCAGGGAATTAACCCTTTTTGGACGACCCTACACGCGAGAGGAGTTGTGATAATCGTCTCACGAGGATTGGAACAGGAGTCACGGGTTGTGTGCGTGTATTCGTGATTGTGGTCGTGGTTGTAATCGTGTTTTTAGCCGCGATTCTAGTCGTTTACCGCAGACGAGTTTGTAGTCGTAATCGTCGTCGCATCGTGGACATAGTCGTAATCGCAGTCGTAGTCGTCGTCGTTGTTGTTCTGCGGGCGTTGCGGATAAATAATTATCTGTCACTAGTGGTGGGCCCCCCGTCCGTCAATAAGGGCGTCAAACAGCTAACTCTTTGCCACGATTGGGGGGATACAAAAGAAAGACAGAGGTTATACATGGGATCTCGCCCCAGAATCAAGATTGCGAGGGCGTGGATATGGATACGTTCGCCGCTCCTGAGTTCGGCAGGAATCAGCGACAGGAACAGGTCGAGCCTTCAGAAGGGGTGCGTGCGGGGGCAACGGGCGAAGTCTGACAGCCCGTACGTTTCATGTTCTGTTTACGGGACTTCTCGGGGAAGCCCTCGTCGCCACGCCACGGCTGGATTCGCCTCGGGGTCCTGGTCCCAGAGTTCCAGGGTGCGCGCCAGACCATGTTTTGGGGCCGACTTAGAGGAAGGAGGAGGCAGGAAGGGAGCAGGAGGGGAGCCTGGATGTCTGATGCTGTGATCTTTGGGTGCGGGGTCAGAGCTCTCGACTCCTTCCTGGGGACTGGCTGCTGATCTCAAGCTGTTCTTGTCGTCGGCCTGGGCACCCGAGAGCGACGTCCAGATGCCGAAGACGAGGGGACAGGCTCGGCTCGCTTGCTCTGGCTCGCCAGAGGGGGTGGAGGCAGGGAGAGAGAAAGGCCTCCCGCCGGGGGCTCAGAGGCAACATTCGTGGGGGGGGGGGGGATGGGCTCCAGGGGGGAATGCGTCGACCCCCGATCGCCCACCTGTCGCCGGGAGGGGCCCGATGGCCCACCCCGCCCAGGAGTGCTGGGTTCTGCTCTCGGGTGCCCTGCCGCCGATCTATCGGCAACGCATCGCCGATCCCAGCCCGACGTTTCTCCCCTGAGCTGGTCCTCCCCCCAACGTTTCAAGGGGCCCAAGGACACACAAACAGATACACACAAATCCCTGGATTCTCCCATACGTTTCCATATTTTCTGGATGTTCGACTTCCCCCCCCCCCACTTCCTATATTTTCCCATGTGTTTTTCTGGGAGTCGAAGGTTACTTGTGTCTGTGTGTTTTTTCCCCTCCCCAGCATTTCCACTTTCGGGTCCGAGCTCGGCTCTCATGGCGGCCGCTCGGGACGGCCTGGGCACCCCGCGCAACGCCCTCAGGGAGGCGCAGCCGCTGGAGCGCACCCCGAGGCTGGACCATCGCAGAAATCAGCCAGGCGCAGAGGGATGGGTCAGGAGGTAAGAAAATCGGGCCGAACGAAAGGGGGGGATAGGGAAAGGAGGGGGTACGAAATCTGCTGCATACAGCTGGTTTCGGCCCCGCCGCTGGGCCCATTCCTCGATACATGGGCGCCACCCGGCGCCAGGAGGCGCAGGGAAATCAGCTACGTGAGCTGATTCTCACCCCCCCCTTTGCTATCCCCCCCTTTCGCCCGGCCCGAGAAAACACACAGAACACCCAGAACATATCGGAAAAGATTGGGATTCCTGTCATTTGTGTCCATTTAGGTGTGTGACCCAGGGTCCCTTCAATGGGGGAGGGGGGAGGGCTTCTTAAAAGGCGCCTGCCCTGTCTGTAGATGTAGGGCCGGCGAGGGCTTCTTAAAAGGCGCCTGCCCTGTCTGTAGATGTAGGGCCGGCGCCTTCCAAGAAGCAGCCCCCTTCTAAGGAGCCTTCACCCATCCCCCATACCCCCGTGTGCGCGCCGCCGACGAAAGCCGACGAGCATGTCCGAGAGCCATCTGCGCGGACGAGGGGCGAAGGGCGGCACGCGGCGGCGGGAGGAGCCATGGCCCGCGCGCTGCTGCTGGTGGGCTGGGTATGGTCCGCCGCGGCCCAGATGGCTGGCGACACGAAGGCTGGCCCTCCTCGGCCCGGGTGTGGTCGGACGGGGCTAGGACGAGGCTAAATCCGATCCAGAGCGTTCCAGAGCGCTCTCAGGGTGTTCCAGAACGCTCCGAGAAGGCCGCGGTGTCCGATACGTCCTCCGGAGCCGCTGGATCTCAGAGGTTCTCGATTCATCCTCACCCGAATCGGTCCTCGTCTTTGTTCCGTCTTAGGTGGCATTCCGCGAGCCTCGGGCGTCGCATCCATCGTCTTGATAAAAGGCTGGTCTGGGACCGCTTCTCGTGGGCGCTGGAGATGGACGTGGCAACTATAGGGCGGGGCGACTTTTATGTGTCCTGGGCACTTCCTGTGCAGGAGGGCGGGGGGGGGTGTTCGTTGGCCCTCGGAGGCTTTCTCGCTTCGGGGTGATCTCCAGTTGCGCCTCGTCGAGGGCTTTCTTGGGGGGCGTCCGGACCGTCAAGAGCGGCCGCCGGAGGCCCGTCGTGCGACCCGGGAGCCACCGGGCGTCGGAGGGTCAGGGTGATGACTTGGGAGGGAGGAAGTCATGGCCAAGGCCATGGTGCCTCCCCGGATGTCATGGCCCCCTCCTCTTCTTGGGAACCCCCAAACCGGGTGGTGAGATACCAGGTGGCGACCTGGAATCCCCAAAAAGGTCACCGCTGGGTTTGGGGACGCGGGGTCACCACCGGGTTTTGTGACTCCTGGGCCCACCAGTGTCCGGGACATCCTCGGAAAACCGCACGAGTCCCCAAACCGGGCGGTGACACCAAATCGCCCGAGACTCACCGCCAGGTGTTGTCACCACCACGTTTGGGGACCACCAATCTTCTTTCCACGCGCCCCCTGGTTCCCTGTCCTCGTCCGCGCAGATGGCCCTGGTCATGACTTGCGAGCCCCACCACTGGACGCCCCCCCGCTCGGGCGCCACCGATCTCCAAGAAGTCAGAACGGGGGTCTCTGCTTGGGGGAAACGTGAGACTCAAGTGCGCCAGCACTGTGGTTTGCCGACGCTTTTTGGCGAGCGCGTCCTGGATTTTCACGGTTTAGTGTTCGTGGGATGTTTGCAGTTGGAGGTCGCGTCAAATTCCAGGTTGGGTCTTGCCATGTTCATGATGCCCCGTCGGGTCAACCCGAGCCCCCCGAACCCGAGTCTTACGTCCCCTCGATTTTGGACGAATCGAGGTTCGGCGTTCGATGGTGGAGGTCTTCCGTGGTCTTGGGCTACAGCTAAACAGTGTGTTTGTGATCTCGTGGGCAGTTTTCGTTTTCATATTGTTTTGCATCACAGGCGGAACGGAGACAGAGGGAGAGAAAACGAAGACAACACGCAAACGTAAAACAGTGTTTAGCTCGAGCCCTATCTTGGTCTGTGTGCCTTTGGGGGGCTTCGGACCTCGGGGTGCTTCCAGGGGTCTCTTGAGGCCTCTGGGCACTTCGGGGGCCTGGGGGGGGCAGAAGTCGGGGGCCCTGGGGCCCAGACCTTTACCTCGGAGACAGGGGAAGCAACACCAACTCCACCAGGGGGGGCCACCTCCCGCGAGGATGTCCCCGATGCCTCCCCGAGCTGGAGGCTGGGGATATCTCCGTCGAGGGGGGGGGGGGCACACCACCAGGGAGACCCCCCCGTTGCTCCTTGCATCTCCTCGCCCTGGTGGTGTTGGTGTCGCCTTTCCTTGTGTCCATCTTCCATCTCCAAAACTCAGGGCGGGTGCTCTTCGCCATGTTCGGCCTCCGGGGGGGCTTTTTTCGGCCCTGGGTCCGTTCGCATCCACAGGCAGCCTGTCGGAGGTTGACAGACCTCCTACCCTGACACGGCGATTAGCGAATTGGCCGTTTTCGGTTCGCGAGAGGGCGTCGCGGTCGTCATTTTTGCGGGTCCAGGTCCGTCGGTTTTGGTCCTCGGCCGTTTTCACTAGAGGGAGGTTTACTAAACGGAGTGTTGTCCACCGCCGAGGATGGGAAGGGACGGCGGCGACGATGCCGGGGGCGGGGACGGGGGGAGGGAGGGGAGGAGGGGCGGGGGTCGGGGGGAGGGGAGGGGGTCGGAGAGCGGACGGGAGAGGGGCGGGAGGGGCGAGGAGGGGAGGGGAGGGGAGGGGAGGGGAGGGGAATGGGACGGAGGGACGGGGGGGCGGGGAGGAGATGGGAGGGGAGGGGGAGGGGAGGATGGGAGGGGACGGCGGCGACGACGACGGGGGCGGGGACTGCGAGGGCACGCGGGCGCCCCGACGGCCTGGCAGGTGGAGATGCCGCCGCCGGTCGCGATCGCGCACTGCACCCTCCAGGACGGCTGCAAGCTGGAGTGCCCCCGCTGCTCCCAATGTCTTGGAGCGATCGCAAACATGCAGTGGGTGCGCGCATCAAGAAAACATCTTACTTTCGTCAGGGTATCCTGGGTTTCTTCGCTCCTCGCGTTGCGCGGCGACTTCCCGCGGCCGTTGAAGGAGCTGCTGCGTTCAGGGTGCTCCGGGTTTCCCTCAGGTGCACGTCGCACACGGGTCCTGAGGGTTGGGTTTCTTGTGAGGGTTTCTTGCGGCCGCGCCCGCTTTGTGGATCAAGGGGGCGTGGATTAATTAGCGACGGGCCCCGTTTCCATGGGAAATCGAGGATTTCTGCCGCCGAGCGAGGCGGCACAGGCCGCATTCTGGGGAGGGCAACATCCTTCCCTTCCGTCCTTCCGCCCTCCAAGCTTATCCGAATATTCCCTAATCGTGTCTTTCCCTCCTCTCCCTCCTCCCTCTTCACTTCTTCTCGTCCTCCTCCTCCTCCTCCTTCGTCCTCGTAGTTATCACTCCGCGTCCTCCTCTCCTCCTCTGCTTCCTCCTCGTCACCCTTCTGCTCGTTTGGGCCTCTAGTCGTCGACTCGGACGGACGTCAGAGCGTGCATCGTTTTGAGCTTGTGCTTGTGATGGTGTTGCGTGATGAGCGGTGCTTATCTCATCTTAGTTTAGCTTTTTTTCATATTGGCTTAGCTTAGCTTCATCGCAGCTCAGGTTTATCTTAGCTTAGCTTACCTTCATCTTAGCTTCGCCGAGCTTTAGCACAGCAGAGCACAGCATAGCATAGCAGAGCGTAGCACAGCACAGCGCAGCACAGCATATCATAGCAAAGCCCAGCATAGCACAGCATAGCGCAGCATAGCATAGCATAGCATAGCATAGTTCAACTGATCCTAGCATATCCTAGCATATCATAGCTTAGCATAGCACAGCGCAGCATGGCATAGTATATCATATCATAGCATAGCATATCATAGCATAACATAGCGCAGCATAGCAGAACATAGCATAGCATAGCGCAGCATAGCATGGCATAGCATAGCATAGCATAGCAACGAATGCTGCTTTCCTAGGGGCTCCAACTTCTAGGTAGGGTCGCACTGGGGTAATTTGTTTGTTTGTTTGTTTGTTTTACTTTCCCGGCACGTCACGAGAGTGCATTCGTAACGTCGGGGGTTGCTAAGGTGTTTCTGGCCCGAGGTGTCCTGTGCCTTCCGCACCTTTCTTCTCCCCGGACCTTTCGCAGGTACGTTCTGGTAAGATTTTCGAAGCGAATCCAGCGGTGGCGACGAGGGCCTCCCAGGAGGGCGGAAAAAGGGGAAAACAGGCGAAGGGAAACGATATAGGCCTTATCTCCTCTTCCCATCACAATTTTGGAGCCCCCGGCGGGGGGGGCCTTCCCGGCGCCTCGCGAGGGGGTGCTTTGGAGGCCATTGGGGCCTCCCTGGGGCCAGGGCCACCCTGGGCAAGGGCCGCCTTCCGGCAGCACTCAACGCGCGTACCCAGCTGGCCCTGGAAACAGTCAAAGTGTGGGAACTTCTTGCGGGCTTCCCACCCGGCTCAGGTGGCCAATTATGGGAGCTTTTGTTCGAGCCACTGAGTTTTCTCGAAGTATGGTTGCATGAGATCTAGTGGGATTCAGCGGGTGCTCACGTGGGACTTCATTCGGTTGCAGTGCGGTTTAGTGGGGTCGCAGTGGGATGCAGTGGGTTCAAAGGGAGATACTAATCTCACCAACTAGGCGCTCGTGCGACTACCTGAGGCACCCATGCCTGGCCACCTAGATCGGCGTTGGACCCTCCCCTCCCTGGTGCTCGAGGCACGCCAGCGGCGGCGCCAGAGGCGCCGTCAGGGGGTCCAGCGCCGATCCACGCAATCCGCGAGGGCCTCCGAAAGTTTGCGTTGCTGTGTTTGCTTTGTTCCTCCAGATCCTGGAGACCGGGCCTCCAGAACAGGGTTCGAGTGGATGGGGTCCGAAGATCGCGCCGCGCGCGTCGCCGATGCACCGCCGACGTCGCCGATGCATCGGCGATACGGCGCGAGCCCCCGTGCGAGAGGTCTCTGCAGAGGCAGCGCCAGGCCAGGCCTCGTCGATGCCGCGCCGAGGGCCCTCGGAGGAGGGCCCCTCCCGCGCAGACCCTCGGCCACGCGAGCGCGGCGCCCGTTTCTCCGGATAGGTACACGAACGCCACGCTGGACGCGAACTGGCGGTGGATCCACGGCGTGACGTGCAGCGGCGGAGGCTTGAAGCCGGGGGCGGGAGCACAGATGGAAGATCAACAGACGGCGTTGAAATAAGCGTTCGGAGATCCGCGCGGATGTCCTGGGTCCGCGATGGAGCCCCCCGCCCCTGGCGCGGGGCAAGCGCCAGGGGCGGCGCGGGAAGCGCCGACAGGGGGGCAGAGCGCAGATTCAAGCAGTCCACGCGGAATCGCAGAAGTTCATGCTGACGGCGCTGGTTCTTCCTCCAACGGCAACGAAGTTGTGTTCTCAACCGTCGGGGGCGGCCGAGAGGGGTGATGAACAGTCAACCCGCGCAGTAAGGATGCGCAACCTTCCTTGCATCCTTGCCTCCTCGGTCCATCCTTCGCCGCTCTCGCTGGCCGCGACCCGCTCGAAAAGCTTCGAAATCGGCGCCCACGGCCCTTGCACCCTTATCGCGAATTCTTACTATACTGGTTTACTGTATATCATGGCTGGGGCCATGACATCTGCCCGTATGTCCTTCTCGTTGCGATACGTTTCTTGAGCTCCCTTGGGGCCCCGCACGTGCCGCGGGCCATGATGTACGAGCCCCCTCCTCTTGGACGCCCCTCTCTCGAACGCTCCGGAGACCGCCACGGCACACTGTGGTGGATGTGATTCGGGGCAGGCTCGCGCGCGTGAGCCGTTCAGCATAAGATGCTCAGCATGGTCGGACGAAGGCCCGCATGCCTTCGTGTGCATATGTCTATATGCCGATTCATACTATACAAACAGAGATATACGTGGATATATACACACATATCTAGACCAGCATGTATCTATATGTTTGTGTACCTATACATATATAGCGATATGTATGTGGCTAAGTGCTTGCTTACAAATTTATGTTTATATATAAGACTTATTTGATAATTGTCTAGATCAGCATGGTAGATGCACAGGCGAAAGGCCCCACTGGCGTACAGCACCCCTCCCCTTTGGCGGTACCGGAGTTGGAGCGGTGGCCTCAGACAGCCCCAGGGTGGGTCCAGATGGCCCAAGGTTGCTCCAAGTATTGACCCAGTTGGCCCAAGGTGGTCTCCAACAGCCCCCCCCGCGAAACTTCAATATTTCGCTAAGAAGGCCCAAGGGGTTCCCAAGTCGGCCCAAGAAGCCCCCATGACGGCCCAAGAGGGCTCTCAGGGAAGCCTTGTGAGAGCCACAGCAGGCAAACGACGATGAATTCCTTTCAGGTTTTCCAAGAGCCCCCCCCCCCCTTCTCGCTCCGAGACCCAAACAGGCCCCCAAGATGGCCCAAGAGGGCCGCGAGGAGGCCTCTAGATTGGATCATGCCACATGTTCCAGGAAAGATCAGCTTCGAGACCGCCAGCAGACCCCTAAGACCTCCCAAAGGTCCCCAAGAGGTCCCCAAGAGGTTCCGCAGAGGCTCAAACCACGCCTCTAAGGGGTTCCTGGAGGTCCCCAAGAAACATCTAAGAGGCTTCTGGTCCGCAACCCAAGCATGATCCACTAGAGATTAGCGTTTGGTACCTCCAGAACCCCCAGGAGCACATTCAACAGCGGGCGGTGCGAAACGCTGCTATGTGCATGTATGTTTCGTCCCCCCAGTGTCGGAACGCACTGGGCGCGTGCTCGTGCATGAACGGAGCGAATGAAAGGCCAAGGGACGACCCGTGGACCCGTTGCAACGCCAGGTGTTTGGAGCAACCAGAGCTGCAATGAAAACCAAATTCCGAACGCAGTCGGTGATTGCTTCTCGTCGTGGCTGCACTCGGTGGCAGGGGATCAATCATGGATAACCTTCGAGCAGCCCTGAACTGCCCAAGAGCACCCCGCGACGGCCCGAAATGTCCCACTATGGCCGAACAGAGCTCAAGGAAATCATTAGCCAGCTCAGTCAACAGCTCATCCATTTGCGTGCTCTTGTGATTGAACCTAACAGCGAAGACTGATAGGTTTCTCATGGTCTCAAAAGAAAGCATCATGACTCCCCAGGGGGGTCCAGACAGGATCCGGGGAGAATCCGCGGATCCGCCAGTTACTATGGGGAATGCACCACTGAGGCTGAGGCTGAGTTCCCCAGCGCCGCCAGTGACTATGGGGAATGCACCACTGAGGCTGAGGCTGAGGCCCTCAGCGCCGGCAGTGACTATGGGAACGCACCACTGAGGCTGAGGCTGAGGCCCCCAGCGCCGCTAGTGACTATGGGGAATCCACCACTGAGGCTGATGCTGAGGCCCTCAGCGCCGGCAGTGACTATGGGGAACCCACCGCTGAGGCTGAGGCTGAGGCTGAGGCTGAGGCCGAGGCTGAGGCTGAGGCTGAGGCAGGCTCAAGCTGAGGCTGAGGCTGAGGCTGAGGCTGAGGCTGAGGCTGAGGCTGAGGCAGGCTGAGGCTGATGCAGGCTAAGGCTGAGGCCGAGGCTGACGCAGGCTGAGGCTGAGGCAGGCTGAGGTTGAGGCTGAGGTTGAGGCTGAGGCTGAGGCTGAGGCAGGCTGAGGCTGAGGCTGATGCAGGCTGAGGCTGAGGCAGGCTGATGCTGAGGCCGAGGCTGAAGGCAGACTAAGGCTGCACACGCTGAGGCAGGCTGATGCTGAGGCAGGCTGAGATTCCCGTGTATTTTTTGAATGGGCTACAGTTGGCTCCTCGCATTCTATAAATAAACCGGGAATATCAGCCTGCACTTGTGTGGTGTTTCTCAGCCTGCACTTGCGTGGTGCTTCTCAGCCTGCACTCGTGCGTAGCCGTGGGTAGTGAGATACGGGGCGCCTCAGTCTGCATCCTGCATGCAGTTTTGCTGCTGTGCAAACGATGGTACAGACCAACGCAGTAGGGAGAGAGTGCAGAGCGATGGAAACACGGATACAGACACGCCTTGCAACGCCTGCATGTTAGTATTGGTGCCACTAGTACTACGACTACTATTATTATTATTACTACTACTACTACTACTGCTACTACTACTACTACTTCTACTCCTGCTACTACTATTACGACTATTACGACTACTACGACTACTACTACTACTACTACTACTACTACTACTACTACGGCTACGGCTACGGCTACTGCTACTACTACTACTACTACTACTACTACTACTACTACTACTACTACCACTACCACTACCACTACCACTACCACTACTACTACTACCACTACTACTACTACTACTACTACTACTACTACTACTACTACTACTACTACTACTACTACTACTACTACTACTACTACTACTACTACTACTACTACTACTACTACTACTACTACTACTACTACTACTACTACTACTACTACTACTACTACTACTACTACTACTACTACTACTACTACTACTACTACTACTACTACTACTACTACTACTACTACTACTACTACTACTACTACTACTACTACTACTACTACTACTACTACTACTACTACTACTACTACTACTACTACTACTACTACTACTACCAGGCAGAGGCTGAGGCAGGCTGAGGCTGAGGCTGAGGCTGAGGCAGGCTGAGGCTGAGGCAGGCTGAGGCTGCGACTGCGACTGCCGTTGCCGCTGCAACTGCCATTGCGATTGCGACTGCGACTGCGATTACAGAGTTCTACAACAGTACTCCTACCTGAATATCAAGGGCAATGCTTCCAGATATGCTTCTACACATCGCTGTTCGGTTACTTTGCCGGGATAATAGCTTTTTTTCTTGCCAAACTTTGTGACATATACCTTGCCAATGGATTGGCTCGCGGACCATCCTCGAAGGTGGCCCACCATACACTATGTAAGAAATCAAGCCGATTGAGCGATCACGTTGATACCCACTCCGACGGATGGAAAACATATCACAATCGCCCCAGGACGCCGAGCATAATTCCAAATTCGCAACGCTTTGCGTATCCCCACCAGTTCGATAGTAACACCGAGTGTGGGGCACCACCCAGTTTCGCTGAGATGCGGTTTTGACAACACACAGGGTATGTCGACTGGCAGCCCACCGTGATTGTCCTTGTCAGCATCAACTGCTCGTGTCGAATTTTCTCCCCCTCCTCTCACACCGTGTGCCTGGCGTGCACTTCCTTCCCGCCCCTCCTGCATCCTGATGCTGCAGCGGTTAGCTGCCACACTGGGGTGCCCTCCGTGCCTGGCGTGCACGTCCCCTCCTCTCCTCATGCGTCCTTGTGCCTGTGTGCCTGGCGTCTCCGCGTGTCCCTTCCTTCCCTCCTGCGTCCGAATGCTGCAGCGGTTCGCTGCCATTCCGGGGTGCCTACCGTGCATGGCGTGCATTTTCCGTCCTCTCCTTTTCTTTCACCGGGTTTATCCCGCGCGGCTGGGGCTGCCGCCAATACTGTTGTCTGGTGGTGTTCTGACAGCCTGAAGTCTATGCAAGGATCACGCTGGGAATGGGCGGTCAGGTGGCCCCTGGCCTGCTCCTGGCTGGTGTCGGCCTCCACTAGTGACCGATGGGTTCAGTGGGGTCTCGCTACGAATTCCATGCATGGATCACACTGGGAAAAGGGCGGTCAGGTGGCCCCTGGCCTGCTCCTAGCTGGTGTCGGCCTCCACTGGTGACCGAACGGCTCCAGTGGGGTCTCGCACGCTGCCGACCTCCGCGGTGTTTGGACCTCGGCATGTGTGGCTCGGTGCGCCCGTCGGCTGCTCTCTCCTGCAAGGAGATCGCTTTCGACATGTGCCACTGCTTCACAAACAAGAGGTACTGCCGTTTGCAGTCCTATCTGTGACGAGGTTGCCCCTCTTCACTCTTGCGCTGACACGATGCAGTTGTGTCGCCTACGGCGCGGACGTCGTCTGGGTGAACCTGTCGGTCCTGCTCGTCTCTGACGGTGCTTCGTGCCGACCCACGCCGAGTGATTGACCTCTGCGTGTGTATGATCGCGCCGCCGCGCCATTCTGGCTGCGCTTACGTGCTGGTCGCCACCGGGATCTCCACGCCACGGGGTTGGGAGTTTCGTTGTTGGTTATTATTATGAGTGGCTGCCCGCGCGCTCGGTTCGCTTGCCTATTTTCTCTTGCTGCCTAGTCGCGGC